ATTTTATGAGGTGTGTAAAGTACGAGTTGTGTCTGGAAATAAATAAATAAATAAAACGGAAGTGTAGTGGATGTTGGGGAGGGTCAGGTCACCACTTGGCTAAATGATGCCCCATTCTCCACGGCCATTATGATAAACTTTCCCAACTTGTGAGACACACGGGAAGGTACAGGGTGCCCAGAAAGTTAAGATTTTTAAGAAAAATGTTTTTTTTTGTGAAAAATACGATTTAATTTTTGCCAAATTTGTCAAAATAAATAGGTAGGTAGATAACATTATTTTATAAGGGTTTCTACAATTTTGGGTACTTTTTGATTCTTATTTTTTAGCAGTTTGAAAAAATTTAGACAATTTGAAATTTGAACTACAATATACCCGGATACCGATCTACCTAACTGTAATTATTTTAAGACATTCTGTAAAATAATAGCAATCGGCACTTAAGTATATCATAGTTTTAAAAAATATTTTGAATACAATTTTTTTTCCTGGCAAGCAAAAATTGAAATGAGATCTGTAACACAAGTTTACGTTAAAATTTACGAAATTTTTTATAACGTTGAAAACCTTTTAATTTTGCAAAACAAACATTAATTAAATTGTTCTACTTTACTATTTTCAAAAATTCAGAGAAAAACCGAAGTTATAATAATCTTTATTGCATATATAGCCAATAGCTCTTGCAAGTAACCGAAGTTAGCAATTTAAAAAAATCAGATAATCTTTCGTAAAAAATTGTATCTTTTTGCGAAATTGTTGAAGTTTTGTAGGCATATTTTTTAGCATTTTGTAAAATTTAGACAATTTTTTTTTTAATCGCTCTAAATCTTGTAAAATTTAGTAAAATTGTCCAAAATTTTAGAATTTTTGGTGCAAATTTTGTACCATTTAGTTAAATCATCGAAAATTTTAGAAATTCCGACTTAAATTTTTTATCGTTTCGTCAAATTTTCACCATTATTATAATTCTCGGTCTCAATTTTGCAGCATCATTTATTGAAATGTGAGCGTAAGATGAGACAGGATTTTGGCCACCCTGTGTATTTGGCTGGGGTAAGGATTTAGTGTTATGGTGATGGTTATGGGCCATTATGGGCTTCAAGCGGTGCCAGGAAAGCCATACATCTCGCAAACCCATTCCCACTTGTCTGCCCAAAACCGCATCCACACTCTTTAAGCCACCCTTTCACCGAGATCATCTCCTTCTTAACCTCATCCCACCACCACTAATCCTGCTTAATTGGGATTAATTTACAGTCACGGATGGCCAATTTTTATGAGAAATATTTAAACCTCTCGTGTCGCTGATTTTTTTTGACGGAAAAGTACAACTTTTGAGCGGAAAACTAATATTTTTGAGCAATTTTTGAATATAAACACTTATTTGTAACAAAATATGTAACTTCAGAGAAATACATACAATTTTTGAACTATTATTTTTGAAAGAAGCCCAATATTTAGTGAAAACAGCTTTTAACAGAAAATGTAACTCTAAAAATGGGTTTCCGGCTTTTGAAGGAAAACTTTTAACAAACAAATTGAGACAATTAATGCAGTTCTTGGCAACATTGTACAAATTCCGTACATTTACAAATTTTTGCACAATTTTACAAATATTTCTGAGGAAAATTAGCTCCCAAATTTTTGTAAACTTACTCAGAACAAGGGGGTCTCTTTATTTTGCAAAATTTTGTAAAATTATGCTACAAAACTTACCGAATTAACACGTTTCGACACCTAAACTGCGATACGTAGAAAAAATATGTCTAAATTCTTTATTGAGATATTTTCGTTTTGGTTTGAAAAAATTGCAGGTGAAAGTATGCAAATTTTTATTTTTTTAATTGTGTATTTTTATTTTGTAAAATTATGCTACACAACGCACCCGATTTTTCAAAGTTCCCAAAAACTGCGTAAATTGGTCCAAACCGATAAGTCAATTTAGTTACCCCGCAATTGCAGAATTTGATCCATAAATATGTACATAGAGTCAAATTCTCTCTCCATTTAAAGAAATGATTTTTGAATGTGTCTTTTATTTTGTAAAATTGTGCCACAAAAAACACCGGATTTTACAAAGTTTACCAAAAACTGCGTGACTTTGTCTAAACCGATAATTCAATTTACAATGCACATGTCAGACATGTTTCTCACGGATCCTCGTCAAGCCAGCACTAAATTATCAAGGAACTAAACACAAACAACAATTGGTGTGGCACTTGAGCACTTCTACAGAATTCGCGAAGATACGAAGGTTTTAAGTTGGCAAAAACGCGAATTTTCATCATGCGAAACTATACGGAGTTCACCTCTCCGCTTTCCAATCTTCGCCAGGTCATCGGTTTTCACCTTCCATACAAAATTGAATTTATTTACTTCCGAACCAAATTCTCATCAGATTTTTCATCTTTGGCTTTTAAACAATTTTTTGAAGCTTTGTACAATTTACATATTTAAAATGGATTTAATTAACTTCTTGTCAGTGGAATTTTTAAAAAATTGGATCACAATAGTTAATCCGATTTTTTATTTTATTTCTTTCACATTGAGTGTTTCGTATAACTTCGATATTTTAAATATTAAAAAGTATTAAACAATTAGTTAAAATCCGGAGATGAAAAATCGGTTGAGAATTTGGTTTGAAAGTAAATAAATTCAATTTTGTATGGAAGGTGAAAACCGATGACCTGGCGAAGATTGGAAAGCGGAGAGGTGAACTCCGTATAGTTTCGCATGGTTAAAATTTTTGCAAACTTAAAACCTTCATATCTTCGCCAATTCTGCAGAAGTGCTCAAATGCCACACCAATTGTTGTTTGTGTTTAGTTCCTTGATAATTTAGTGCTGGTTTGACGAGGATCCGTGAGAAACATGTCTGACATGTGCATTGTTAGTTACCACGCAATATTACAAAATTATGCAGAATTTGATCCACAAATAAATAGAATCAATGTCTCCCTTAAAAAATCAATTCATCATTTTATTTTTAGTTCTAATCGAACTGGAGCATACGATTCGATGGAGTAAAATAGAATTCATTCGTAAATCGATCAGGGTGAGATCAGGGTGAGATTTAAATCGACGTGCCGGGAACACACCCCGTGTCAATTACTCAATGCGTTATTAATGCGTAAATAGAGTCGAGAGATTCATTTCCTTCCTTTGTCAACCCACCGCGGAGGCAGAGGCGCAATTGATTGTAATTCTAACCGTCCTCGTCGTGGTGGTGGAAATAATAGAAAAATCGTAATAAAATGATAGCCGTCGGCTGCTGCGGCTGTAGATGACACTTTTTTCTTTACAAGGTAACGCCTTCATCGATAGGATATAAATATGTTTCCGAGTTTTTTTGTGGGAATGACCAATAATGAAAGTTTCCCAGTGTATGCTCCCAGATTTTGAGAAAATTATTAAATAATAGGGTCAAAAAAAATTTCCACAAACATTATTAAAAATTATATGAAAAAATTTTCGAAAATTTTCTACCAGTGCATCTCAAATTGAATTGAAGTCTCTCAAATTTCAACATACAAATTTCAATACACAAATCTCAATATACAAATCTGAAGATCTATAAAATTCTCTTTTTTAACTGAAAATCATTTAAAGTCGCGCAAATTACGTAAATGTCAAAAATTCCCAAACCTCACTCAAATCTTACGTTACAAAATTCATGGAAATCTAGTGACTCTAGGAAATCTCCAAACCCACGTAAATCATAAAATTCCCCAAAAATTCCCCAAAAATTCCAAAAAATTTATGCAACTCTTTTAACACAAATCCAACACGCAACCGAATTTCGAACCGCACCACCACCGCTCGGATTACAATCTCTGCTCGCATGCATGCATGCACACTGCACTTGCATCCTTCTCGCCAAATGGTTGAAATTCCATCTCAACTGGAAATCTAGGCCTGCTGTTGCCTCCCGATAACACAGAATAATAATAAGTTTCTCTCCTTCCATAAAATCAAAGTTTCCATATGACCAATGTTTCCAATGGAAACTTTCCATAAGTTTCCATATGACCCACCCACGCCACATCCTCAAGTGGTCATTCTCATGTGATCCCTCCCTACCCCAAAAATTCACCCACTTTTGTCTCTCCACATCTGTCAATCTTTCTCTATATTTCATTTATTTTTCCGCCGACATTGACAAGAAATCGGACATGAAGTAAAAGTCCATCCATCTTCTACCCGGGTATCGATATCATATATTTTTACCCGGGTAACTACTAACGTATGTATCATTAAGAGGACTGGCCGCCTGAAATTCGGTCCTTTAACTTAATCCTCCCCCCTGGAGAGCTTAGAGAATGGTCCCTTTTATTTTATTTCGGGAGGAAAAATGTCAGCTGCTGTTGATTTTGGTGTCCCTTTTTCGTAGAGGACTTAAAAGGACGAGCAGGACGTAAATAAAATCGGGCATCCCTTTGTCCTAGGAAAACCACATGTGTATTCGGCTACGAATTTAGGGATCAGATTGAATTTTGTGGACCAATTTTTCCATATAAAGACACCCTACGAAGGGTAGGCGAGGGTCAGTCGGTTATTTTCTAGGGTAGGTGTGAGTGAGTGTAGGGAGGAGGTTTCGAATTTTGAAGGATTTTTTGAAAAAGGAAAGTGAAATTTTGGTAGATTTTTTGGTGTAAAATTGAATTTTGTAAAGTGAAAATTATTCTAGTCATTGCTGGTTTGTGAATATTTTGTTTAACAAATATGTAATTAACATGTTTATTTGTGTTAAATTTGAAAAAATTAGGATTTTGAAATAGGAAAAATAGGAATCTAACTATGTTAATTTGTCGTAAATTTTGTAAAATTTAGACCTAAATTTGAAACAAATTTTGCAAAACAAACGTTTTAAATTAAAAAATATAATATTTTGAACAGAAAATTATATTCCATCCATTTCTATTTAGATAAATGACATTAGTTTCTATAAATAACCGTCACCAACGTTAAAATTTGACGTGTTGAAATTTCTGAAATACTTATTTCTTTTTAAAAACTCAAATTTTTGAGGATTCTTCGTCAAGCTGATTATGATCTGTTTATTATATTTTTCTAATTATTATTGAAAAAATCGATTTACTGGCGTCAAAATCATTCCAATTTTACAAGTGAAAGTGAACATGAAACTTTAATGTGTGCGAGTTACACGTCTTCAAAAGTGACCATGGTGGATCCCGGGTTGCAAAGTTACCCGGGATTAAATTGGATGAGTGAACATGGGCAGCAGTTTAATAGTTATCACCACAACGGTTATAATTATGGGTATAATAATTACTACGGTTACCCCGGCGGTAGTAGCGGAGAGCATTATTACCATCACCACCACCACCACGTGGGTAATAATTACGCCAACGGACAGAATGGATACCCGGGTAGAAGTGGAGCTGATTACGGAGAGGAATTGGAGCTGAGTAAGTTAAAGAATTTGTATAAATTTGTAAAACAGGAATCTCGTAATTTTATGAAAGTTTTCAAAATTGTGAAAAGTATTGCACACTTTGTAAAAATTGGAGTGAATTTTACACATGTTAATCTAAAATAATTAGTGAGGCAATTCACGCAGTCATTGGTAACTTTGTAAATTTTGTAAACTAATTTTCCAAACTTTTACAAAATAAAGAGACACCCTTGATCTGAGTAAGTTTACCAAAAATTGTGACCAGATTTTCCTTCAAAATATTCGTAAACTTTGTAAGTTTACGGAGTTTACGAGGTGTCAAGGACGGCGTGAAGTGCCTCATAAATTTGTAAACTGTATAATTTTTAAAATTTGTAAACTGTATAATTTTTGAAATTTGTAAACTGTATAATTTTTGAAATTTGTAAACTGTATAATTTTTGAAATTTGTAAACTGTATAATTTTTGAAATTTGTAAACTGTATAATTTTTGAAATTTGTAAACTGTATAATTTTTGAAATTTGTAAACTGTATAATTTTTGAAATTTGTAAACTGTATAATTTTTGAAATTTGTAAACTGTATAATTTTTGAAATTTGTAAACTGTATAATTTTTGAAATTTGTAAACTGTGTAAATTTTGAAATTTTTCCGTGTCGCTAAATATTTTTGTTTAGTATTTTAGTTACAAAAAGGTATTTATTTACCTATCAGAACAGTTGTTGGTACTGTGTGCGGATTCACGTAATTTGTAAACTTTATAAATTTCTAAACTCCGTAAATTTACGAATCATAGAAATATAAACCAGATTTTCCTTTGTAAATTTCTATGAAAAAACTGACACATTTCTGATTCTACTGGGTGGTTACAAAGATCTTCGTGAAGGGGAAAGTTGATGAATTTTCGAAGGGGTGGACACCACGTGAATGAAATTTTAATGGACATGTGTCCATTATATAATTGAGGTAAAATATAATTGGATTTTTAGCCACATCTGCCTCCACGATGGTGACTTCGCCCTCGTCCAACTCGTCCATCTCACCGCTGAGAGATGTCAAATCGGAGAAGAATATGAGTCCGGATGGAGAAAAGGAGGATGTGGGCAGTACTCGGATTGAATACCCGCCATGGCTAAAACGCGGGTCTTATGGTAATTTGGATGGATTTTTTTTACTCGGAAATTTTCGAAAAATTCTTACCATGTAAGTAAAGTAGCTTAGAAAATAATGAGGTAATATATTGTAACCAATTTTCATATTTTTCACCAATTTTGATATTTTCCACGGATTTTCAAAATTTTTATTTATTGAAAATCGTATTTATGTATGCCAATTTTTTGTGAATTTATTTATTTTTTTAAAAATTGGTAGATATCAGTCTCACTAATAACTTTATTTGGGAGTGAATATTTATTAAGAAGAAGTTTTAGGTCGGTCCAAGTTGCACTCACAGAACTATACTATTATATCTTGCACTATGATTTTCTATCATTAATAAATTTAAATTGAATATCAAAATTTTGTTTTCCATAAGACTTCCTCCTAAATTTCTCTCCCATAGTTTTAAGAACACAGAATGAAGTTTTATTCCACCCGTAATAAAATTCCTTTGGTGTCACTGATAAATATTTTTACTGATATACTATATTTTTATTTTTATATATTTATATTTTTACTGATATATTATATTTTGGTGATACTGATAAATATTTTTTTTACCAATTTAGTACTTTTTTTAGCCAAATATGAAATTTGCTAATAACAAATTTCCTTCCTTAACCCTTTCCTCTTCTAAATTTCCCTCCACTATTTTTAAGAGTGCTCCCCATCCACATTGCCTTATATTCCACTCCTACGTAATAAAACTGCATTTCTTTCCTGGGCGAAAATCAGATTAGAAGAATGTTTTCCTCTCGCATTACATTCTTAGCACGTGGGGCCGACCGGGACTGGATTATTGTTGCCTACCTGGTTTTCTTCTGGCTTGTCCGACCAAACCACCCGGCATGACGTCCACTTGACGCTCCTGCTCCCTCCTCGTCCTCATATAATTTCAATCCATCCATCCATCCAAAAACATACTCGACAAATTAATCACTTTCACTTCTCCGTGCCAGTTAGTTGTTTTTTACCACTCAGATTTCTACCCGAGATTGTCACGTTGCACATAATATGGACACATATTGTAGATATGTATGCTTACATTTTGGAGTAGCAGGGTCATAAATCTTGATACAATTTTGCACCAACTAATCTTATTTATCGAGAGGGTATCATTGCAAATTCGGTGTGATAATGGGGTAATAGATTGAGAAAAGGGAAATCGGGGCAGGGACGGGAGGGTGTGCAAAAAGCACGTGGGAGAAAACACGTGACAATTTTGGGATCAATTTTTAAAATTTAAAGTGGCCACGTGCTAGAAAATTGCTAACTTGAATTGCTTACGTTTTACCACGGGGTTAAAAATTTTGAAAATTTTGTAATGTTTTATCACATGGGAGAAAATTCTAAATTTTGTAGGGTTTTACCACGTGGTGGAAAATTAAAAATTTGGTTATGTTTTACTACAAATTTTTGAAAATTTTTTTGTAAAGTTTAAAATTCCAACGTATCAAATACTTCTCACCACATCATAAAAAAATTCAAAATTTGAAAATTTTACTAGGAAAATGGTAAATTTGGTACAACTTATTTTTTACCACCACAATTTCGCTACCGGATAATTTACCGAGTCGAATTACATGAACGTTTTTCCTGTCGGGCCCCCCCACCCATGACCACGACCCCCACGACGCACCGTACTGTAAAAAGTCGGCAAAAGGCGTAATAAATCAGGCCGGATTGGGTGGTGGAGAAGAGAGAAGCCATAAATCCCACTATTTTGACTCCATGAAACACCTTTGCGTATTGTTTTTAAAAAAAGGAGGGACGGAAGGGGTCAGTTTTTAAGGAGAAAAAACAAGATAAGGAATCAGGAAGTGTAAATATTTATATCACAGGGTAATAAATTTTGTAACCCTTTTTTTTCACGGACAAATTTCGAGTTGGGAAATTTTGGGGAAATTAAAATTTGGAAATTTTGGAGAAGAATTTTGAATTGCATTTCTTCAGTAAATCACGTCAAAGACACAGCAGCACCTTCAATTTGATTTAAAGTGAACATTTTTAGCAAAAAATATTTTGGCGTGACTAGGACTTTTTTCATGTGAAATTTCACACTCGGCACATTTTCCTGTTATTTTTTGTTTAATTTTAAAAATAAATTTTCCCTGATTTTGATAAGTATTGAAATTTAACAAAAATTGTACATTGTCGTGTTCAAAATTTTTTGACGTATTTTGATTTTTAAAATTAAATTTGTAAATTTTTTGTTTAAACTTTTTGGCACATTTTGATTTTTGCAATTAATTTTGCACGTTTTTACGTCCAATTTTTGTACACTGATTTTTACAATTGATTTTGAACCTTTTTTATCTCAAATTTTTTGCCGTGTTGTAATTTTTGATTGTTTTATGTTTTTTATACACCAATTTTGTACTAATTTTTTTATTTTATTTTCAGGTTTGAAAAACACCACATCGCCACGTTCGCCCTCTTCGGAGGATAATATTTCGCCCTCGTCGTCATCAAAACGAACCCGGCAAACGTACACGCGCTGCCAAACGCTCGAGTTGGAGAAGGAATTTCACTTTAATAAATACTTAACGCGTCGGAGGAGACTTGATTTGGCGAAAATGTTAACTCTGAGTGAACGCCAGATCAAAATTTGGTTTCAAAATAGGCGGATGAAGGCCAAGAAGGAGGTCAAAGGTCACGTGGTTGCCAGTGATCTCGTCCAACGACATGGTAACACTAATTCCGAAAGTAATTCATGTTATGGAGAAGGAACTTCTTCGTGGTAGGGAAAAGTGAGAGAGAGAGAGAAACCTTGTAGTTAAAAATATATAGTTTTATTGAGCACACTCTAAATAATTTGGTAAAATTTTCGGTTTTACCAGACGAGGGAGATTCGAATTTGAATTGGTAAATTAGAAAATTTGCGAGAAATTACAGATACCAATTTGTGAGTATTATTTTATGGAAATTATACGTTATTTTTCATTTGTTTAAAAGGAACGCTAAAATTTTATGGTTACCAATTGTTATTAATTTTTTTAGAATTTGTCGGTAAAATTACAAAATTTTTGGGGAAATTAGACCGAAATTTTTTAGTATTCTTTAATTGGCCAAATTGAAATGCGTTTTTTTTTCATTTGTTTAAAAAACCGGTAAAATAATATGGTTACCAATTATTACCAAATTACTTTTACCGATTAGAATTCTCCCCTAAAAAATGTGTAACACCAATCTCCAAAATTTTGATTGAGAAAAAATACTGTAAAATAATCCGCTAAATTTGAGTGTATTACCATTTTCCTTCTTATTACCAAACTGGTAAAAACGTACACCACTAATTTCCCCAATTATTTAGAGTGCGTCCAAATTTACAATTTTATTATCTCCTGGAAATAGATGGATAGAAACACCTTGAGATTTTATTGTAGCATGAATGAATTAGGTCAGGAGTGAACAAGTGACAAAAATGTGTGGATTTTGGCTTCCGTGAAGCACCTTCTGTTGTATTTTATGGCACCTGTAAATCATTCCCGGCTCTGACAGCCTCGTATTTATTTCCTCCTTCCTTCCTTCCTTACGCACTTTTCCAATGCTTCTGCGTCGGATTTTATTTCACTTCCAGAAATTTGGTCTAATTTTCTAAGAGCAAATATTAATTAAGAAAATTTTCCTTTGATTTATAAAATTTAGAGTAGTTAAGAATTCAATTAAGAATTTAATTAAGAATCTTTTTGCTTAGTGGAAACATGAATCTAGTCAAATTTAAGAAATTTACCGTGCAAAAGTATGAATTTAAAGTCATTTAAATTTTTTAAAGTAAATTATTACCTTAAACGTGTCACAGATTTTGTCTAAGTTGGATTCCTAGTCTTACATATTAAAAAGGATTTTTTCGGTAAAATTATGTGTAAAATTCTCGTAATTTTAAGAACTTATTTTATCCTGGAATTGTGCCAAATTAATGTATATCCCAAATGGATAAGATTGAACTTGACTTAATCAAAATTGTGTATAATTTATAAAGTAATAAAAATATTTTCCAAATTTGAAATAGTGCTAAAAATTTAATAAAGTATTACATTCCTGAATACTAGATATTTAATCTGCACAATTTTACGAATAGAAACGTGACAAGAGAATAGAAGGAACATTTTTGTAGCATGAATTAAGCAGGCGTGGGCAAACACTGTGTCAAAAAGAAGTATTTGAGCTCTGGAATTTAAAAAATTTAGGCAATTCAAGCAACTTTGCACTCTTAAAAAACAATCATATTTTTGCTTGCAATTCTTTTTGTGTCGAAAATGCAATACCTCAAAATAGTTTTAACACGTATTTCTACACGTATCGCATTTTGGGCGTCGAAATCTGGCAAATGCAGGAGTGCAAAATTGAGGCAATTCACGTAGTCCTTGGTAACTTTATAAAATCCGTGCCTTCAATAAATTGCCTTCAATAAATTAATTATGAACACTTTTACAAAACAAAGAGACGCCCTTGATCTGAGCAAGTTAACACAAATTTGGGACCTATTTTTCCTTCGAAATATCTTCAAAATTTTGTAAAGGATTGCAAGTTTATGGAATTTACGGATTTGACAATGTTACCAAGGCCTGCTTGGATTGTTTCTATATTTTAGCAAAGTAATTTGCCCACGCTGTTTCAAACTGTGGGCACTAAAAATAAGGCCCTGCATTTAAGATGTACCCTCCTTCGTCCAGATGAAATACGTGAAAAAATGAAATCGACATCCCCCCTGAACGGCCCCCTCCTCTGAAAATGATGAATCTGCCCCGTTGGCCGAGATCCTGCCCAAGGGTCTCGTAATCCATCCATCTCTTCTCCCCTTCACCAAATCCACTCCGAACAGACCAAGTTTTAAGGGATCCTTTTAAAACCTGAATGGCGCTCGTTTTCTCCTCTTTTTTCCAAGTTCCCATTTTGATTTATTTCCCTCCCACAAAACGGCAAGAGGATTTATGTAGTGGAGGATTAATTGTTTATTTAGCGGGTGATTTAATTGGTTAATTAAGCCGTAATAATGGAGAGGGAGTTAATTGAGTGTTTCAGTAATTAATTAATTAGCAATGGAGGGAAAGTACTGGGCAGATAAATGTGTACATTTTAAGAATTTGGGTAAGCAAGAACTTGTAAAAATTTGAGCACATTTTGTAAACTGTTTGGTCAAAAAGGTGTTAATTTTTGTGTCAAAAATACGAAATAAATCTTTATTGTTAAGAAAAACTGTTGCAAAAAAGTTGAGTGTTTCTATAATTTTGCAAAAATTAGTTGGCCACAAATCGTCTTTCACAATTGGACAAGTTCGACGCCAATACGAAAATAACGGAGATTACGAACTTCTAATTTGAGGTAAGATGGATCCTCGTTGTTTTACTCCATGCAAAAATTTTAAAGGTTAAAAAAATACGATAAAAAACTTGCTAAATTTAATTGCATGCGAATTTTGCGGAAATTTTGAGATTTTGGGAAATATTTTGAGAAAATTATTGGAAATAATGCAAAATATGTACGAAAACCGGCTTGCTTCTGAAAATAATAAAATTAGCCGGATAATAAATAAAAATAGCGCATAATTTGTCACGCATTAACACAAACGTGACATGTTTTTCACCCCAAGAAAATAAGAAAGGGTTCTAAATTTTAATCCATTTAAAGCCTAATAATAATAACCATAAATAAATAAATAAATAAATATCGACCCTTTTGTATTGTCTGAAGGTTAGTTTTTGTCATTTTTGACGACCATCCACCCACCCACTTTCTTCTCTGCTTGGCAGCAGGATCATTAGCATAATCCTTTTAGCGGCGAGGAACAACACATATGTAAATTTACATATGTACATGTGCGTGAAACTATTAATTTGGAAACCCTTTATTTGGACATGTTTTGGCTGTTTTTGGCCATTTTTGACGAGAAAATGTGACACTTTTGTCGGTATTTTGAGTCGACACAGGCAAAGACCATACATACTGAGTGAAGGGAAGAGTAATATGTATCACGTGTACACTCATTTGCATAAATTGGGGTGTCATTAATTCTAAAATGTTGTTGAAGTAGTAAATTTTATTGGACCAATAAAATAAAGACGAGGTCTTTTATGAGGGCTGTTTATTTATTAAGAAGGGACCATAATAAGGGTGCAAGAATTAAGATTATAGGAAAACTAGAGCAGGTTTTATTTAGTTGGAGGGTGACCCTTCTTGGGTCAAGAAGATGGAGAGAAATCAGGAGAAATTAGTTTCGAAAAATTTAGAAGAAATACAAATTTTGATTTTTTCTGGAATTGTGAGGATACCAAATTTGAAAAAATAGAGGAAGTTGTAAAAAAAGTTCAATCCTGAAAGAATTTGGGAAATTTTGAGGGAAAAAAGTGCAAAATCTGTACAAATTGTGATAAAGTAAACTTGTGAGAAATTCGAATTCGGTATAAAAAAAGTAACCAAATTTGAAAAACATTGTGAAATAGGTAATCATTCTAACTGGAGGAGACATACAAAACTTTACAATATATTTATCTTGCAAAAAAGTGAAAAGGTTAAGGTTTGAAATAAGTTTGAGAGACAATAATTGGCAAAAAAAATTGTTGAAATTAAATTGTTAAAAGTAAATTTGTGAGAAATTTGAATTTAAAAAATTTAGTATTACAAAAGTGGGAAAACATTGTGCAACCGGAAATCTTTGTGCTGGAAATTAAGAAATTTACCAAAAGAATCTAGTAACAAGACAAAGTCCAATTTGCCACGAAATTTGCAAATTTTGTGAGGAAGTCTACACAAATTTTAAAATATTGCGAGGAAGTCAAGTATGAAAAATGTGTTCGTGTTTACACCTCATCAATTAAACAGTAGAATTTTTTCATGTTTATAGCCTTGCTTGACGTGTAATGTAACGCGATATGAAAATTGTGAAAATGTGGAATTGTTAGTTTTGGTTGCGTCTAAATTTGCAACTTTTTTGGGCAATGATCAACTTTCATGTCGGACGGAGGAGGACCTTTGTTTTTGAGGTGAGGGAAAAATATTCAAATTTTTGTGTACACACAAATTGTTTGACAAGGTGGATACATGCATAATTGGGAGGACAGGGTTTCGTAAAATTGGGAAATATAAAAATTCATTTTGTAAATTTTGGGATAAAAAATACGTAAATTTTTAAAAATTTAAACTTTGGAAGTATTCATTGAAGTATGCGAAAATTTGTTTGTAAATTTTAAAAATAATTTTACAAACTTTCACAAAATAAAGAGATACTCTTGATCTGAGCAAGTTTTACAAAAATTTGTGAGCTAATTTTTCTTCGAAATATTCGTAAAATTTTCTAAAAGTTTGTAAGTTTATGGAATTTACGGATTTTGCAAAGTTACCAAGGTCTTCGTAAATTGCCTCGTTATTTTTAAATTTGTCACAGTTTGACGTCATTTACAGCGAAAACTATTATTTTCATTACGTCACGTTAAATCTAGATCGAATCCAAAATACCCTACAATTCCAATCAAAATTTAAAACCAAAAGCACTAACTCGCCAAAAGTCTAAGTCTAAAGAATTTCAACAAATCGTAAAATTATGGCTCAATTCACTCTGATATTTGTAACTCGGTAATAGAGTTGCCGGTGAGATGAGTTCATCTCATCCCATCTCATGTGAAAATGAGTTTGAGAAGAGATGAGATGGCCGCTAAATGAGATGAGAACTCACATGAGATGGGTAAAGTGAGATTTGATGAGATGAGAAGAGCTCATGAGATATGAGATGAGTTAAGTGAGACGAGATCAGCTCATTAATAAATATTAATCAGCATTCAATTTGCGAACTTTTAGG